GACTAGAGCTAAGTGTGTCAAGTGGTCAAATATAACACTATATACACTGACAGTCCTGACTAGAGCTGAGTGTGTCATGTGGTCAATATAACACTGTATACACTGACAGTCCTGACTAGAGCTGAGTGTGTCATGTGGTCAATATAACACTGTATACACTGACAGTCGTGACTAGAGCTGAGTGTGTCATGTGGTGAATATAACACTGCATACACTGACAGTCCTGAGTAGAGCTGAGTGTGTCATGTGGTCAATATAACACTGTATACACTGACAGTCCTGACTAGAGCTGAGTGTCTCAAGTGGTCAATATAACACTGTATACACTGACAGTCCTGACTAGAGCTGAGTGTGTCATCAATAAATATAACACTGCATACACTGACAGTCCTGACTAGAGCTGAGTGTGTCATGTGGTCAATATAACACTGTATACACTGACAGTCCTGACTAGAGTTGAGTGTGTCATGTGGTCAATATAACACTGTATACACTGACAGTCCTGACTAGAGCTGAGTGTGTCATTTGGTCAATATAACACTGTATACACTGACAGTCCTGACTAGAGCTAAGTGTGTCAAGTGGTCAATGCGGCCAATATAACACTGTATACACTGACAGTCCTGACTAGAGCTGAGTGTGTCATGTGGTCAATATAACACTGTATACACTGACAGTCCTGACTAGAGCTGAGTGTGTCATGTGGTCAATATAACACTGTATACACTGACAGTCCTGACTAGAGCTGAGTGTGTCATGTGGTCAATATAACACTGTATACACTGACAGTCCTGACTAGAGTTGAGTGTCTCAAGTGGTCAATATAACACTGTATACACTGACAGTCCTGACTAGAGCTGAGTGTGTCATGTGGTCAATATAACACTGTATACACTGACAGTCCTGACTAGAGCTGAGTGTGTCATGTGGTCAATATAACACTGTATACACTGACAGTCCTGACTAGAGCTAAGTGTGTCAAGTGGTCAATATATAACACTGTATACACTGACAGTCCTGACTAGAGCTGAGTGTGTCATGTGGTCAATATAACACTGTATACACTGACAGTCCTGACTAGAGCTGAGTGTGTCAAGTGGTCAATATAACACTGTATACACTGACAGTCCTGACTAGAGCTGAGTGTGTCATGTGGTCAATATAACACTGTATACACTGACAGTCCTGACTAGAGTTGAGTGTCAAGTGGTCAATATAACACTGTATACACTGACAGTCCTGACTAGAGCTGAGTGTCTCAAGTGGTCAATATAACACTGTATACACTGACAGTCGTGACTAGAGCTGAGTGTGTCATGTGGTCAAGTATAACACTGTATACACTGACAGTCCTGACTAGAGTTGAGTGTCTCAAGTGGTCAATATAACACTGTATACACTGACAGTCCTGACTAGAGCTGAGTGTCTCAAGTGGTCAATATAACACTGTATACACTGACAGTCCTGACTAGAGTTGAGTGTCTCAAGTGGTCAATATAACACTGTATACACTGACAGTCCTGACTAGAGCTGAGTGTCTCAAATGGTCAATATAACACTGTATACAATGACAGTCCTGACTAGAGCTGAGTGTGTCAAGTGGTCAATATAACACTGTATACACTGACAGTCCTGACTAGAGCTGAGTGTGTCAAGTGGTCAATATAACACTGTATACAATGACAGTCCTGACTAGAGCTGAGTGTGTCAAGTGGTCAATATAACACTGTATACACTGACAGTCCTGACTAGAGCTGAGTGTGTCATGTTGTCAATATAACAATGTATACACTGACAGTCCTGACTAGAGCTGAGTGTGTCATGTGGTCAATATAACACTGTATACACTGACTGTCATGACTAGAGCTGAGTGTGTCATGTGGTCAATACAACACTGAATACACTGACAGTCCTGACTAGAGTTGAGTGTCTCAAGTGGTCAATATATAACACTGTATACACTGGCAGTCCTGATTAGAGCTAAGTGTGTCATGTGGTGAATATAACACTGTATACATTAACAGTCCTGACTAGAGCTGAGTGTGTCATGTCGTCAATATAACACTGTATACACTGATAGTGCTGACTAGAGCTAAGTGTGTCAAGTGGTCAATATATAACACTATATACACTGACAGTCCTGACTAGAGCTGAGTGTGTCATGTGGCCAATATAACACAGTATACACTGACAGTCCTGACTAGAGCTGAGTGTGTCATGTGGTCAATATAACACTGCATACACTGACAGTCCTGACTAGAGTTGAGTGTCTCAAGTGGTCAATATAACACTGTATACACTGACAGTCCTGACTAAAGCTGAGTGTCTCAACACTGCATACACTGTGGTCAATATAACACTGTATACACTGACAGTCCTGACTAGAGCTGAGTCAATATAACACTGCATACACTGACAGTGTGACTAGAGCTGAGTGTGGTCAATATAACACTGTATACACTGACAGTCCTGACTAGAGCTGAGTGTCTCAAGTGGTCAATATAACACTGTATACACTGACAGTCCTGACTAGAGCTGAGTGTCTCAAATGGTCAATATAACACTGTATACACTGACAGTCCTGACTAGAGCTGAGTGTCTCAAATGGTCAATATAACACTGTATACACTGACAGTCGTGACTAGAGCTGAGTGTCTCAAATGGTCAATATAACACTGTATACACTGACAGTCCTGACTAGAGCTGAGTGTCTCAAGTGGTCAATATAACACTGTATACAATGACAGTCGTGACTAGAGCTGAGTGTCTCAAATGGTCAATATAACACTGTATACAATGACAGTCGTGACTAGAGCTGAGTGTCTCAAATGGTCAATATAACACTGTATACAATGACAGTCGTGACTAGAGCTGAGTGTCTCAAATGGTCAATATAACACTGAATACAATGACAGTCGTGACTAGAGCTGAGTGTCTCAAATGGTCAATATAACACTGTTTACAGTGATCGCCCTTTATTATAGACTGGTGATGAGTATATGAAGTCGTCAATGTTATACAATTATAGACTGGTGATGAGGTCAACACCTGTTGTTATGGACCAAATTCACTGTCCATAATTGTTTTATTATGCAATTACCACAAAAAGCTTCTAAAAACCAAAACATGTCCATTTAGTCAAGAAAAGTAAATATATTTTCACTACACACCAATAACTTTATGCCAACAATACTGTGACATGTAAACAATAGAATGATGTCATAGCCTGACGCCCTTATCTATTTTTAGTAACTTAAGTCAATAATTTTATGACTTTTGGTCGGACCTTGGTTGAAGTGAATATGCTTTTCTGTCAACGGTCACGTGACCGTCTCTAGACCAATCAGGTAGCTGGGATTCGGACCCACACCCTCAGAGTCAGGCACATAATCGCCAGCACACAAAGTCAGACGCCTAGACGGATGGGACTCAACCCAAAAGTACTAGAGTCTGTACTTTACTAAGAAAGTGTAATCCCAAATATAACATCTGTTACATCTGACCACTTTCTAAAATGGCATTGTGTATTTCATTATTCAGCCTCCTCTGAATTTCATCCCAAAGATGTTCAGTTGGGTTTAAATCAGGACTAAGGGCTGGCCACTGCATGATATTGACACCGTTCTGCTGAAGGAAGTCCCGTGTAGCTCTTGCAGTATGGGCTCGGGCGTTATTAAGCTGGAAAATGTTGTTCCGGTGACGTGCGAAATGTGGTATGACATGTGGTCTGAGAGCTTGGTCGATGTAGCGCACCGCTGTGATGCCGTCTCCTCTCGCTGGACCAAGGTTCTGGAACACCACAAGACCCACTGTCTTGTTCAGGCCTATTCCACCCCATACCATGATGCTTGCACCTCCCCATGAGTAAATAACACACTGGTCTGAGTAACGCTGGCCACGTCGTCGCCATATTCTTGTTCTGCCATCTGTAGTTGATACGCAGTACCGACTCTCATCTGTGAACAGAGCGGTTCTCCATTGCCTGTATCGCCAGTTTTGGTGTTGTAGGGCAAACTGCAGATGTTCACGCCGATGACAAGGGGTAAGGACAGGTCCACAGTAAGGTCTACGGCAATGGAGGTTCCTGCTGTTAAGACGTCGGCGTACTGTATCAGTACTGATTGGTCTTCCGTGTGTTTCCACTGTCTGGCGTGCTGTTTCGGATACTTGCATGAAGGGATTCTGTACATGCTGTCGCACAACATGGTGGTCTTGTCGTCTTGTGGTTACCCTTGGTCTGCCAAGACGAGGGCGATCATTTGTGGTGTTAGTGGCCCGGAAACGTTGCTGCAGCCTGTAGATGGTCTGAACGTTGACCTGGAAGTGATTGGCAACGGCTTGTGCAGTGTGGCCACCTTGAAGTCTTCCTAGCGCCTGGTTACTCAGAGCTGTCGTGAGTCGCGGCATCCTGCTGACGGTGTAATGTGAATGTTTCAACAAGTTTTGGAGGTGCATTTTATAGGGCTGGTCCTTGTGAACAGCACGCGCAGCATGAGTTGCATGAAAAACATGGAGAACACGGTACCATTTCCGAGATCAGGTTGCGTTTTTGAGACCATTTCCTGGGTTCCATTCTGAGTTTGGGAAGGAATGTCTTTGCACTGGTAAAGTTGGAGATGTTGTCAAAAATATACAATCAAAACATTAAATGAGTTTACAGTTATCCGTTTCTGCGAAGGAAAATTCCAAACTGACGTTTCTTTTGCTGCTTAGTATATATCCTCTCTCAGTACAAGTAAGGTAACTGCAAACCTGTAATGATAATGAAGGCAAATAATGAGTGTGCCACGGATGTCCATTTTGAACCTGCTACAACAATGTCGAATAATATTGATGCTTTTGTGTAAAAGCAAACGTTATAGTAAAACTGTTTTCATTAGCTTTCGTGCATTATGCTTAGGATGGTTAATTCATACTTCCCCCTTAAACGGAAGATTACAGTTAACTGACAATATAACTCTGATCCCGCGACTTGTGGTCACCCATTAGGCTACATCAGTCAGCTGGATACACACACACTGGAGATGTTCCTCTCTCGTCACCAGTGAGTAGGTTTAATGTAGAAGGTTTCACTTCCAAAATATGTTTGTTATGGTCATATATGGAATACGGGCATACCTTGTTTTCTATTTCAGATACTTCCTGACGTCTGTGGCGATTCCGTGTTTAGCACTCACTGTACTGACTACACGAGGCAAGTTTACTATGTTTTGTTGTTTCTTCAGTATATTAGTTGTAGTTCAACTGTTTCCGAAAAAGCAAATATCGACTTGAAATACCAACTAGAAGGAAATTATTTGACTGAGTAAAAAAGCACCACGTGTGTGTTTGAGTGTGATGTCGTTATTCCAGTTGTATTCTATGGTGTGTAATTGTAATTTATCCTGTCTTATGCCTGACGATTTGTCCACAGGATGTCAACAATTAACTTACGTTTAACGAACTACTTATTAACCAACGCAATTTCCTCATTCACTTTTCACAGAATATATGAACTGTATGTATTACGAAGTTTTCTATGTATCATGAAATATACATCCTATAACAAGTCACTGGATACCAACATAACGCATCAGTCCTACCTTGATCGTGTCAATGTTACGCTTCATCTTTTGCCTCGTACCTATCTAAATACTGATTGTATTATTCTTCGTTTTCAGCAAAACCATGCGGAAATGGCCAGCACTGTCCCGACTGTTACAGTAATGGAGACTGCTCGGCACCATGCGAGGTTGGATACTATGGTAGGAAGTGCACGTCAGTGTGCAACAGCGGATGTAAAAATCGGTTGTGTGAACTCGCAGAGATGGGCGTCGAAAACTGCACGGAGGGATGTGTTCCAGGCTTCAGAGGTACAAGCTGCACAATACCATGTCACAAGCCTGGGACGCAGTGTACGGTGTGTGAAGGTGGATGTGATGGAGGATACTGCAGGCTAAGTTCTACATCCTGTGTTTCTGGATGTGTCGACTCCTACTATGGCCTTGAATGTAAGGACTGCTCTGAGAGATGTAAGTCATGTAACAGGTCTACAGGGATGTGTGACGTTTGCCATGATCCATACCAGGGTCTGAACTGTGAGATGTCATGTGAGAACTGTGCAGGAGCTTGTGTGTCTGGATGTGACGAAGGTTGTAAACCTGGCTTCTATGGTCATTGGTGTGATAAGGTGTGCAGTGAAAACTGTCGTCCTGGGCCCAACAAAACTGCAGTTTCTGTCTTGGAGTGTGACCAAAATACATCCATCAATTGCATCCCCAAGTGTGACAACAACACTGGAGACTGTATCCATGGTTGTAATGATGGGTGGTATGGTGAGAACTGCTCCTCTCGATGTAACCGGAAGTGTGCAAATATGTCCTGCACTGATTCAGGGTCGTGTGCAGCTGGTTGTGCACCAGGGTATGCTGGGACTGACTGCTCCTGCTTTGAAAACTGCATCCTTGATGTTTGTCACCCGAACAACGGATCTTGTGTGAAAGGTTGCATCAATGGATATTATGGTACATTTTGTAACATCTCGTGTGATGTCTGTCTTGACGGTGTATGTAATCGGACACATGGCACCTGCACTAGAGGATGTAATAGCACTGGTCAAACTTGCGCATCTAACTGTACTAAAGACTGTCCTTTGGAGGTCTGCCTTCAAGTCAGAACATGTTCAGGTAAGACATTGAAGTGCAAAATCAACAATTCGTACACATCCATAATCTTCAGTTTCAGTTCCTTTAAATGGGACGAGATTTCAGAGGTAGCACATTCAAGTTTATTGAATATATTGTAAAGTATACAGTTTATTTGATTTGCGTCTTCCTATACCAAATACCATGAAGATTTTTGTGTACATATTACATAATATATTCACAGTACATTAGATTAAGTTATCGTTATTTTGTATTTCCTCAGAGACCCAAAGTGAGAGCCATACACTGATCGCAATCACCATCGGGGCATTAGCAGCGTGTTTGCTTTGCTTAATTGGCATCATGGTAGCAATTCGTATTACTGTCTACGAACGCTTTATAAGGTTTGACATTACTTTGTTTATGTTTATCAATGTCTAACTATGTTGCTTAACCTATATTCTAAATGACACAATCACCTTATAGCTTCCATGGCCTTGAACACAGAATATGTATTTATCTTCAGCTACATAATAATAAATAATAAGTCCATTTGTATAGAGCCTATATCCAGTAACCAAGTGGTTGCTCATGACGCTGATATATATACATATTAACAAAAGGAGTTCATTTAGGTATAATAGTGCTTCTTGAACAGGAAAGCTTTTTAGGTTAGACCGGAAGCTGACTATTGAGGGAGATTCTTTGAGATTGTTCCAGAAAATAGTTGACATATAGGAAAAACGTCTGTGTCCGTACGTCTTCAGTAGTGGACGGTGAGCAGCGAGTATGAACTCTGACAAGACTAGAGAGAAAGGACGCAGCAGAAGTCAATGTAAAACAACAAGAAAGATCTGTTTTATAATTAACAATTTTATAAATAACACAATACAGATTACTGCAATGTAACTACAATGGTAGTGCATAGTGGAAGTACAAAGCTCATTGCAGTACTAATACAATGGTAATACTAAATATAGCAGTAGTAGCAGTGAAGTCAGAGATATTAACACCGACCAAATAGCAATATTTGCCAAGCTTCCAAATAGTCCTAGAATGGATATCCGTTGAAAAGAAGATCAACTGATGGGCTTGCTGTAATGTGAGATGAGAGAACCATGTGTTCCACGCCATGTTTAGTAAACTATACAGCTCTAAAAGATCCGACATTACACTTAACTCTAAAACAGCAAATTACAGTACGCCACTGCTTCCGTAATGTAATATATCTCGACTAACTATTGGTAAACCACAATGTTGTGAACATCGACTGTATTTGAAAAGAAACGAAGTCTTACAGTTATACTGTATTGCAGTAAATTGCCAGTTTTGTGCTTCCAATGTTGACAAACACACATATGGTTTCTGCTGTAGGGATGAAGCTGATGATGGAGATGTGGAATGTCCAGCAGAACAGCAGGATGCACACGGCTACGAGCTTGTGGATGTTGAGCCTGATAGAAACGAATCCGGCCCTGTAATAGTTTTTCTTTAGTGGATGTTCACTTCAGTCAATGCAATACAATGACTGGCCAAACTGCCCTCCAGCAAAACATCGATGTCATGCCATGGATAGCGCCCAGTCCAGACTTTACGCACTAAAAAACCTCTGCAGTCATTAAGTTTAGATGACATTGTCATCGCCGCAAAGACTCCATGCATGTCTGACCAATAAACATGTTGTTTTGTTCCCGATATTAGAACTGTTGGACGCAAAATCTAAATGTTTTAGTGTTGGACTCTTTAATGGCCTAGTCGACAACCATTTCAAGCATAAGAACTCACAAAATTCCATCGCCTAGGCCCACGGAGATATGATTTCGTAATTTCCATTTGTTTATACCATGAGGATTCTTGATATATGTTGATAATTCCCTACATCTCCAATTTCTTGTCATAATATAGCCATGACACCAAAGTACTTATTTTATTCTATTTTCTAATAAATATCTTTATCAATTGCTTTGCTTTTCCCTGCAAAATGGGAAACAAACACTTTTTTAATACAAGCTGATGAAAGCTTTAATCACAGTCGAAATCCTGGTGCCTCCAGCTTGTTTCTTAGTAAGACATTTAGTGAAAGATGAGAGCGAGCGCACACCAAACAGACCAAGAGGTTCTCTCTTCTGTACAGACCCCTGTTCCCCGCAATCATCATTATGCTTTATCATTGGTCGGTAACCTTTCTCACGGGTTTCTCGTAAGATTTCGTCGCTGACATACTCGACAAGATTGCTGAACCAAATGTTGATGACCATTCTCTGAACACAGGGTCAGTCATCATAGACGACAAAGCCGGACCACATCGTGCACGTGCCGTTGGTGATTTCTTACGTGAAGGGGCGGTAGCATATCTACCTTGGTCCACGAGGAATCTATTTCTCAATCAGGTAGAGCGTGCTTCTGATATTATGGGTCGCAGAATACGCCCGTGAGATGCTCCAGTAGAAAATCGTGGTGAACCAGAACAAGGAATCCACCAAGAAAGGAAAGCAACACCTCAACGTCAGATTCAGCGTGTGATGCAGCCTATGAGAAGGAGGGCCAGGGATGTTATTGTAGCTGGTGGAGATTACACCAGATATTGACCCTGTGTTCGGGTATTGACACTTATGTGAATTATTGAGTATTGTGTGCCTGAATGTAATAGTTATCAGCAATACAAAATAATTTTGTTTGCTTCTCTGAATAAAATCCAATTTAAATTGTCATTTGTTTTTGCGTTTAGATTTAGCATTTAATTGTTCGTATGGAGTGTTGGTTAAATGTTTGCCTATTTTCTGTCATAATTAACTTATGTCAGACCTGGTTATGATCGATTGTGTCATTCACTGACTTAATCCTCTTGTGAATTGTAAGGGTGACGTTACATATGTTTTACCATAGATGTGAACTAATTGATACAGAACTTGACCAGGTGTTATGACTACGTCATACACGTTTATGAATGATTCGGTTGTGGTGTACCAGGTCCATTTGTCCCAATTTGCTCACAAGAATAGAAAAAGGAACCAAAAACATTCGGAACTCCGGATCCATACGTCACTTTACCGTGTGTGTGTGTGTGTGTGGTGTGGTGTGGTGTGGTGTGGTGTGGTGTGGTGTGGTGTGGTGTGGTGTGGTGTGGTGTGTGGTGTGTGTGTAAGTGTTATATCATAGACATGAAATTGGAATATTCAGACAGATAATTTGTATGAAGCTTAATATTTTTATCTATGTAATTAAGAGGAAAAAGAATCCAAAATATACCAAGATTCTATAATATCAGAAGAAAGGTTAGCTTGGGTGCTTTGTTTGATTGTTGTTTAACGCCGCACTCAGCAATACTCCAGCTGTATGGCGGCGGTTTGTAAATGATTGAGTCTGGGCCAGACAGTCCAGTGATTAACATTAGGAACTTCGATCTATGCAATTGTGATAT